GAGCCCCAAATGTGTTTACTGATGGTTCTAAGACTGGCTGTGGGGCCTACATGATATCGGGACGAGAGCTCGGGCTACATCAATTCCAGCCTGGCTCCCCCCAGATTGTAGAATTGAAGATAGTAATAGAGGTTTTAAGGCATGCTCCTTCGCTTTTAATTTGATTTCTGATTCAGCCTATGTTGTTAATGCTATTAACATCCTGGAAGTGGCAGGACCCATAAAAGGGACCAGTCCAGTTTGCCTTTTGTTTAAGCAACTTTAAAATCTAATTTGGCAAAGAAGGGCCTGCTTTTCTGTCCAACATATCAGAGCCCATACGGGTCTGCTAGGACCACTGACTGAGAGTAATGACAGGGTTGATCAATGGACCAGAATGGAATGCATATTTTTAAGTTCCACCTTGGAAAAGGCAAGAGATTTTCATAAGACTTTCCATGTAAATGCCAGGGCTCTGCAACGGAAGTTTCATCTTTCTCGAGCTGATGCTCCGCAAGTGGTTCTAAATTGTCCTCAGTGCATAGTGCATCACCATCCACCCAGCTTAGGGGTCAACCCTAGAGGCTTGATCCCCCTAAAAATTTGGCAAATAGATGTCACTCATGTTTCAGAGTTTGGAAAGCAAGGCCCTATGGAGCCTTTTTCAGACTTTGTCGCCCGGGTGCTTGAAGTGGCTGGTAGGGTGTTCGGGAACACGGAGGCTGCCATGCTGCTAATATTATCGCCCACTGCCTGGAAGCATGGGCAGCGTGGGGCAAGCCACAACAGCTGAAGACTGATAATGGGCCAGCTTATCAGCAGGATCCAGTCTGGGTTCCAGAGCATCTGGTCAGAAAAGTCCAGCATGAAGAGTGTCCAGAATGCCAGCATGGTGACCCTTCTGCTCCTCCTCTCGATGAGCCAGCTGGGGGGGACGGAGCCGAGATGGGGCATCCTCTCAGTGTTTCCAAAACCGATACCAGTGATGTATAGTGCTCAAGTTTTCCCCGCTTTTTTGCTAGTAACAGAAGTTTTGGTTTGCCCTTTTTGCATTTGGATAGACAGTTGAGCCCCATAGAAGGAAATAGGACGTTTTCGCTAAAGGGCAGCCTATGTTTTGTGTTGATTAGAAATATTAGTGAAAAGTCTCCCTGCGTGCAGCTGTATAATCAATCTTCGACCTGGTTCGAAACTACTTGGACACCAGTCTTTTTGCATTTGGATAGACAGTTGAGCCCCATAGAAGGAAATAGGATGTTTTGGCTAAAGGGCAGCCTGTGTTTTGTGTTGATTAGAAATATTAGTGAAAAGTCTCCCTGCGTGTAGCTGTATAATCAATCTTCGGCCTGGTTCAAAACTCCTTGGACACCGGCCCGGGCTTCTGTAAATGCCTCTTGGATATCTGGGTGGTGGCCCAGTAGAGTAGGAGAAGGATCTCCTCCTTCGAAATCTATGTGGACTCCCTTTTGTTACTTCTATGAGGTTAATCCCTTTGATTTATGGCTGTTATGTGGGATAAATGGTAGCTGCACAGATCTAGCCCCTTTTTCCATGATTGGGGGAGGTGCCCAGGGAGTAGGGTGATTTAACTGGACCCTCCATAGATCGTTTGGAGACTTTTTCAATCCGAGGTCTGTTGTGAGAATAGTCACGCAGCCTGGCACGACTACACCCTCATATATGGTTTTGGGAGCTGGAGAGGAACCAAGTACCTTTGAGAATTTGTATAGTGCCAAATATTCCTCTACCTCTGTGTGTGTGTGTGTGGCCTCCGTTTGTGTGGATAGTCAGTAATGGCTCTATGGAAGGGGACAGGTTGAATTGCTCACCGACAACCTGTTTTTATGCCCTTTACTGGAATGCTAGTGTGTTTCAGCTGGCTGC